GTAACTCCATTTAATCAAAAAAAAAAGAAAAAGAAAAATTAAAAAAAAGAAAAGAAAAAGAGAGATTAATTTTAACAGATGAAATCACTTTGTTTTAAACAGTTAGATTGTTATCATATCATGGTAATTGCAAAGTATTTTGAGTATGAAAGTGATTTCATTAATATTATTTGTACATGTAAAAAAAATAAAAATATTCTTGAAATGTTTCATTATAATCCAATTCCAATACTTTCTACAACATTATTTCCAAATATTGAAACACATTATTTATATTTTCCATTTGATAAAAAACTTCCTTCAGTTAAATTAGAAGCTATTTGTTATGAAGTAACATATTCTCAATTCTTAGAATTTCAAAAAGAAAAAATAAAATGTTTTAAAATAACATATACACAAAATGATAGAATAAAATATGGTAATATTATACCTTATGGAATAAATAAAATTGGTGAACATTGTTTTGAAGAAAGTGATATTAAAGAAATAAATATTCCAAATTCTGTAACTTCATTAGGAAATAATTGTTTTGCTCATTGTACAAATTTATCTTCAGTACAATTATCTTCAAATCTTGTTAATTTACCATTTATGTGTTTTTCTAGTTGTATTAATTTAACTACAATGATTATTCCAGATTCTGTTCAATCTATGGATGCTAGTTTTTTTAATTGTCAACATTTACAGTCAATAACATTATCAACATCATTAAAATATATTGGATGTAGTTGTTTTAAATTTTGTGTTTCACTTCATTCAATAAAATTTCCATCATCATTACATTGTATTGGACAAAATGCATTTAATTGTTGTATTTTATTAGATAAAATTGTTCTTCCAGATTCTGTTTATAAAATTGATGAAGAAGCTTTTTCAAAATGTTCAACATTATCATCTATTAGATTATCTGCTGATTTAGCTGAAATTGGTAGAAATTGTTTTAAGAATTGTCATTCATTAAGAGAATTTATTATTCCACCATCAGTTTGTTTAATGGAAGCGGGAGTTTTAACTAATTGTAATAGAATTGAATTTTTTGATGCAACACAAGATAAAAATGGTGATTTTATTTATGAATTTACACAACATGAAAGTGAAATGATAAAACGAGTTTGTCAAATATATAATAAGAAAGTAGGATTTTATAATATTAATTATATTGATGAAAATCAACAAACAGAAAAAGATGCTATCATTGATTTTAATTGTAGTATTATTGCTAAAGAAGCATTTAAAGATAATAAATTTATTGAATCAATTGCAATTCCACCTAGTATTATTCATTGTGATAATTCATGTTTTGAGAATTGTACATCATTAACATCAGTTTATATTCCAACATCATTAACTGCTTTATGTGATTCTGCATTTGAAGGATGTATTAATTTAAAAATAATTGATATTCCAATGTGTTCATTTGAATATGTTCATTCAGAAGTATTTAAAGATTGTTCATCACTTCAACATATTCAAATACCAACAAGTGTTCACACAATGTGTGATTCATGTTTTGAAAATTGTATTAATTTAATAGAATTAAATATTCCTAATGGTGTAACTAAAATTGGAGAAACATGTTTTATAAATTGTTCTTCAATGACTGGATTAACAATACCATCAAGTGTTGAAATTATTGGATTAGAATGTTTTGTTAATTGTTCTTCTCTTCAATCACTTCAAATTCCTTTAGATTTAAATGGAAATTATAAATTTCCAATTTCATATAATGAATATCTTTTATTTAAGTCTTTAGGAATACATTGTAATAATATTGTTTTAACTCAAAATGATATTGGTGAAGATGAAAATATTCCTATTGATGTTCCACTTAAATTAAATAATGAATTATTTAGAGGAAGTAATGAAAATCATTTTATTATTCCTTCTAATGTTATTGAAATTGGAGATCTTTGTTTTGGAGAATGTTTTCAATTAACATCACTTGAACTTCCATCTTCTATTACTAAAATTGGAAAAGAAGCATTTGCAGGGTCTAGTCAATTAAAAGAAATTAAAATACCATCAAAAATAAGTAAAATAGGATCATTTTCATTTGAAGGATGTTATAATTTAACACATATTGATTTTGGAAATAGAAAAGATTATCCATTTACTGTTTCATTAATATGTTCTTATATTTTAAAAAGATGTGGATTACATTGTAATAATTTATGTTATTCAAGAAATGACTTTTTATTATTAAATCAAATATATTCAAGTCATATTCCTTATTTTGCTTCATCATGTTGTAATGATGTTTATAATTATCAATTAGAAAGATGTATAATTCCAACAACAATAACAAGAATATGTTCTAATCAATTTTTTGATTGTGTTTCTTTAACTTATATTGATATTCCATCATCAGTATCAAAAATTGGAAGAACATCATTTGCAAATTGTTATAGTTTAAAAGAAATTATTTTTCCACCACAAGTTATTAAATTAAAAGATAATGTATGTATGTCAAATTATTTATTAACTAAAGTTATTCTTCCAACATCATTAACAAGAATTGGTAATTATTCTTTTTATTCATGTCGTTCATTACAATCAATTAAAATACCAAAATATGTTCAATTTATTGGTAAAGCATGTTTTAATAGATGTACAAGTCTTAAACATATTGAATTTGAACAAAACTGTGAATTATCTCATCTTTCATTTAGTGCATTTTATAAATGTTTTACTTTAGAATCATTTCAATTACCAACTACAGTTTCTCGTATTGATTCTTTTTGTTTCTTTAAATGTGAGAATTTAACTAGTATTACTCTTCCTTCTTCATTAAAACATCTTGGTTATGTTGTATTTAAACGATGTTTTTCACTTCAAAATATTATTATTGAAAATGGACTCTTAGATATTGGTAAAGGTTGTTTTTCATCTTGTACTTCATTACAATCTATTTGTATTCCAAACTCAGTTAGTAGAATGGAAGGTGGTTGTTTCTTACATTGTAAATCATTAACTTCATTAACATTATCTTCATCATTGAAAACACTTCATGTAGCATGTATTGATGGTTGTACATCATTGAAACAAATTTATATAGGAAATAAAAGAATTAAAGAATATCCTTTTAACATTAGTTATAAACAATCACTTATCTTAAATTCTATAGGAATAAATACACCTCATGTAATATTTACATCACATGATATCCCACCAAATCAATCAAATATAGAAGTACCAAATGGGGTAATTGTTATTGATGATAATTGTTTTAGAAATAATAGAAAAATTGACACTGTTACAATAAATGATTCAATAAAACTAATTGGTAAATATGCATTTAAATCATCTATTCTTCTTCAACCTCCAAATATTCCAAATGGATGTGTTGTTGATCCTACTGCCTTTGAGGATATGAAAATTGTCAAAAATAAACAAGACTTTCTTCAACAATTTCAAAATAATAAAAGCACTCAACTAAAACATATTCCAAATAATGTTGAAGATCAATGTTCAATTGCTTAATTCTAATTTTTATTACTTTGCTAGTTATTAAAAATCAATCAATTCACATTTTCGTTGGCACTAAAAATTCTTCTTGTATTACTGATGAATGAGTTGTTGGTTTCATTGATTGGTGAATAACTTCAAGTTGTTCTTTTGCCGTTCTATAATATAAATCAATATTATATCCTATTTAAATTATACTAAAAAAAA